TTTGTTCAAAATTTTCGAGTTTTTGAACGATTTCATAAACAAAAGAAAATTTGTAAATTGTATTTGTCAGCAGCTGCTTTCTAATTCAGGTTAAATAAATTATATTATTAAATACCAATGTAACAATCTTTGCATTATATATCAATAATTTGAAAAATTTAAAAAGTTGCTACCAAAAATGTCAATATAATAAAAAAACATTGCTCAAATTACTCGAAAAAATTCGAATTGCTCGAGCTCATGCTCGAAAATTTTCGAGTAATGAGCATTGAACAAGTGTGCGAGTACTCGCTGCTCATGATTCAATAATTAAAGGTTTGCTCATTATTGACATTAGACTTTTGACACTCCCTTAGCTGCCTTACAAAAGCTTTGCACACACACACGAACCCACACACAGTGCTTTGCTAAGGGAGCCGATTTTGTCAAGAGGGAACGAGAAAACTGCTTTTTGAGCAAACCTTTTATTATTGAATCATGCTCGCTGCTCATATACCCGGGCTGTTTGAAAATGTGCGAACAAAATCGAGAGCTCTACTATATACTCCGATAGCCAAGCAGCTATCAAGTCACTGGATTGCTGTAAGACTTCGTCAATAACTTCGAAAATAACTGGGTGTCAGGCCACAGAGAGTTTCAAGGTAATTTTGCAGCGGACGAGCTCGCGAGAAAGGGAACCACCCTGTCTGACGTCAACTCCTCTTATGCAGCGATCATTCCGTTATCTATTTGCAAGATATGGCTCCGGACATACTTCGTCGAGAAGGAAAACAAAATGTGGCCTAGCCTCGACAAGAAAATCTCCGACGCACTCATTCGGTTAGAACACCCTCTACTAAGGCTGGTGACCTGAATTATTAGGGGCCACTGCCTAATGGGAAGGCATGCTAGCAGAATGGGTTTACCGGCCAATGACTTATACCGTAGTTGCCGCGACGTGTTGCCTCCGGATTCTCCCCGGAATAGAACAAAAAAGCTCAGTTGCGTATGCTGGTGTTACCTCATACCGTGTTCCGGTCTCAATAGCCACAGAGAGTGGCAAAATTCCTACGTTCAGACTCAACTACCAACCCACTCAAACTTGTGTCATTACCGAACACCAGAACACGTACAAGCATGCAATCGCGATGCGCAAACCATTCACATCCAGGTTTCCGAGCTGGAAATTGACACCGAAGATGTATGTAGACGTCGCGGAAGATGATGTCACTTTTGAAAATACTATCAGACTAAGTGTTTACCAGCTAGGCTAGGTCGCACAATGCTGCGCTACCACACAAGACCCTGCTAGCTGCATACAAATCCCGCAGGCGGTCTATAGCAAACTAAGACGCTTAAGTATAGGCCATGGTAGACCTTCCAAAACGCTGCTCTCCAAATCGCTACTGGATTCCTCTTAATTTGGTTTATGCGGAGGCGCAAATATTGGTTTTCGTTTCTTCTGAATCTAGTGAACACAGTTATGACAAGTAGAGTTGTGTTCCAGTCCAAGTTTTACAGCATCGATTGCCACGGTCCAGTGTCTTGTTTGTAAACGGCAGTTAGGAATCCCCCCTGTTCAGTTTGATGAGAAATGCAGTACGCTTTACGGAGTAGGTGTGCCACAAACTGCTGCAGACCCTACAGGATAGTAGGTCTTTCCACTTATTATTAGCTACCATTTTCCAGTGCCGACAGATGCGGATGGCTGCCTATTCGAGAAAATAGCAATGCTGGTCCCTGCAAGCTTCGAGGCAAAAATTATGTTACACGCCTCTTTGTTGGCAAAAACTTCGGCCTGAAAATCCCTCCCCGAATTCGGTAGTCGAACATACTTTTCGATTTGTGGGTCAGTTAAAAAAACTGAAATTTCATTTTGGAGCTGTTCGTAAAAACATAGTCCTTGAATCGTTCAGTAAAAATAGGCTTCTTCCATTGACGTTATACGTACGTGTGTTCCTTCCACAGTCTAAGTTCCCTCAACCTCAGGGCACTCTGTGAAGCACTTTCCCTTAATAAAGAGATCAATCAATAGAAGATGACAGATGGCAACCAATGCTTCCTTTGGACATGATCTGATCGCCCCAGTAATCGCAATGCAGGGTGACCTTTGTACTCTACCTAACATTGTGTGTATATGTATACGTAGTTCATATATCTACGGCTTTCCACCAAGCCAGCGAACCGTATGCAATAACTGGGCGAATCACTGCCTTGTACGTCCATAGCATAAGATCAGGTCTTAGGGCCAGCATTTTGGCAGGAACACAGAGCACCATAGGCCTTTTTTACCGGTGCTTTAAATTCCTATAGATCAGTATTGACCCCACGATTGTACACACATGCCCAGCATGCGGCTGTGGTTCGTACAACACCGCGCACCTCTTTGCATGCCACATGCGCCCAACCCATCTGCCACCAGACGCGCTCTGTGGCCTACCGAGAGATATAACACATTTTTTAGGACGCAGACTGGATAATTCAGGGGAGCGAAGCAGGATTGAAAGCCAATTCGGAAAATAACAATGGCCGATGATATAACTCTAAGTAGATCTTCTCGACGGACGGTACCCTAAAATCTAAGGTAGCACTCTTTTGGCTTCTATGAATAAGTTTTGCTTCGTTTGCAATTCGCTAAATGTGCTGCTAGTTTCGGGGGACCCCCATCCCTCCAAAACTTGTAGATACAGTCTTGACGCGGTCTTGTTAGAAAGGCCGATTGAATAGGGAAAAATATTCCAAAGGCTTAAAGATATAATGGATTCTGAAACCTTCGAATGCTATCTCTAAAAGCATAACCGGTTTCAAAGATTCGTGTCATGGGAAATAGTTTGGACTAGTAACGAATTGTTTTTTTCTTCACATTCTACGAAAAATTGTTATGAGAGCTTTGTGGAAATCGAGCTTTCGTGGAAGTGAAGATATTGATAGATCCCACCGTTCCTGTTAACCGGCAGCCGGATTGCCGGCTCGATATGAATGTATGTATAGTTATTAGGGCTTTCAGCCGGTACCCGGATTCACAGATTTTGTGCCGTTTAACCGGGCACCAAAATATGTGGAACGGGACTTCCTCTATCCTACTCAGCCGCCCTGTACTAAAGCCTTAAACTACTCCTATGTTTTCTCTCTTTCTAGATGAATACCTTACATCGCCCACCTCATCGAGCGTTTCCTTGAGCACACCACAGCGGTCGTATTTTCCGCGGGGCATTATCAATCCAAACTATCCTGGATTCCAACATCTGGCGCACACCCTCTCCGAACATTTCATTGGTTGTACACCATCCGATTCGTGTGACAGCGATATGTCTGAGTGTGAAATGGAGTTGAGTGCTGATAGTTGTGAAGAACTGCCCAGTGAAGAGCAGCAAGTGGAATTGAACGTGAAAATGAATACGTACAACAACAATAATAACCAGAAGAGGTCATCAAGTCAAGGAAGTCAAGACACAGCATCAAGAAATGCAGACCAAAAACACCGACAACAATCAAATCTAATAGCCTACACAGACGATAATAGCAACAGCGCCAGCACGGACCACCCCGCTACCAACGAAGATCAGCAACACAAGTATCAACAGGAGCAACACAGCAAACTAGGCACCCTCATCGCCAATGAATTGCATGAAAACTTGCGTCAATTGCTTACACTAAATGTGCCGGATAACTACTCGGATGCCTACATTATAAACTCTGCAGACAATTTTGCTTTTCGTTATGATCAAAAGTGTCGTCTGGTCGCACAAATCTATGATGAGGGAACGCAGGTGCACGGCACCACACCAGATATTTTGTTGAAGAACTGTAATTTAAGTGTGGAGAAACTTTCGAAAAAAGAGAATCGTCCCGATTTGCTGCGTGGCGTCAGCCCACAGCCGTTGCGAAATCGCATCGAAGCGGCAGATGAGGAAAATACCAATGCCATCAATGAAGCCATTGACAAGCCACGAGAGATAATGCCAGCTGAAAAGGCATCTGGCGCAGTAGCGAACGTGGAACATAGCGATGCCACAACACCGGTTCGTTCGGGTGGTGAAATTTGTAAGGATGATGCTGTGGGTTTTGGCATAACACCGGTGGATATAATTGGTGACTTTGAACAAGAGGTGGAACGAGAATTTGGGCTGCTCGTAAGCGGTTACAGGCGATTGGTCGAAACGAATGATGAAGCAAATGAAGAAGTAGATGAGGTTGGCGAACCACAACCAATTGAAAAGGTAAATATCGAAATCTTTTTTTTAAGTTGATTTGAGTTTAAGTCCTCTCTCGTTTGAGCAAATAAGACCTCCATATACGGTACTGTGTATATGGACAAGACCCGACTGGTTAGTTTATACTCCTCCACGAGAGGAAAGCTCGTTTAGTACCAGGTCAAAACGCAGCCAGTATTGTTGGCCGCAGTACTCCGTTTTTCTTTAGCCCATGTAAGATATGAAACGTTTGCCTAGAAGTCTCATTTTAGCCCTTTGTTTTATTGAGAAGTTACAGAGCAGATTCTCTGAAGATGAAGTGTTGTGCTACAGTATGAAACATGCAGCGAATGTACCAGTGTCTAATGCCCCCTGAACACCGGAAAGTAGGTCTGTTCGCCCGCGGTTAGCCAGAATTAGTCAAACTAGGGAGGCCTGAAGCATAAAGACCTTTCACATAGAATCGAGTTTTCGATTTTAGTACAGCACTTAGCAGCTGCGTCGAAAAAATGTATGAAAAACACTCTCTTTGAAAGCCAAATTCTTTGATTCCTAGATCTAGGTAATTCCAAGGTTTCCGCTTGTTGAACAAATCTATCTGTGACATGCGACAGATCACACTGGCGTGAATGGGATCGCCTCAGTAATCGCGAGGCAGGCAGTACCTTGGAGTTGAGTTTGTCTCTCTTTTCACTAAAAAAAATTCGTGACGTATACAAGCACTAAACAGTTGAGCGGATTTTTTACTTATTATTCATTAAATAACTAAGGTCCTTATCCAAGTCTTTCACATATTTAGCTTTTTCTTGCAAGAATAGAAGGCACTACATATTTATTTTTTAAGTCACAGTTGGTCCTTACCCCGCATCCCTACATTGTCTTAACGGATTTTCACCAAAACTCAGATTCATATAAATAAAAAAGTAGTAAAGTACTTTGGATGTGCGTGCTATTTCCTTTTCTTTTAAAAATATTTAAAGGGCAAAGAGTTTTTACAGCTTTCAGTCAAAAAAAGAGGTTATAGCCATTCAAAGAAACATTTAAACATTTTCTTCTTAGCGATGAGCTACTCGCTCGGCTTATCAGGGACACATTACCGCTCACGAATTCCACTGTCCCAACGCTGTTCTTTAAAATCCATGATTCACGATCTTTCCAGTGAAGTATTATCAAGCCGCTTGTCCACTATTTTAAAGTACTTTCGTCCTACTACACACAACAAACTTGTGCAGCTATTTTCGATGAGAACAGCTACTACTACAATGGTTTTACGAGTTATACTGCCTACCTTGACAATAGCGCCTAAGGCCATTCTAGACGGAGTCTTTCCTGTGATTTGTGCCGGAAGTATTTTAGTTGTTCCACAAATGGAACAGATTCCAACTCTAGGTTGCCTTCGAGATTTTCTTTTACAGTATAAATTGCTGCTGAGCTTTGACTACTGCTGAGCTACTACTTTCCCTATCGCTTTGGTATTTTTGTTGAGCAGTCAAAGTCACACTGGACTACAGTGTTCGAAGTCTTATCAATTCTAAAGCAAAAATGACTTATCTGTTCCAGGTATCGGATGCAATGCTCTCGAGCGCAAAGGATCTCATTGATTCCGATAGATACGTTACTGCTCTGCAACAAAAAGGAAAAGAAGATCTTTATGCTAAAGTTGAAACGAGAACAGACGCAGCAGCTGCAACGAAACCAGATGGCACACAGGCTCCATTAATGGACTTTATGGAGGACAATAATGCAGTTGATTGGTCATATGGACGAGGTAGCGATTCTGAAGAAGTAAACATAACTCAAGTGAAAGAAGGGCATGACAGCAAATTGGATGATATAACCGATGTAAGCACCGTTAGCAATACGAGTAGCACGCCAGAAATACGACCCAAATATCAGAAGGCATCTTACGATGAACGACTGCTACCACCAGTAGCAATCGAATATAAACGCTGCCAACAAAGCACGCGCAACACACGCAAATCTACCGGCCAGAGTCATGAGAACAGAACAGAAAAGGCTACTAAGGCTACGGGTGGCAGCAAAATTGGAAGGAATCACTCTAAAAACCCTTTTGCCAATCGATTCTTCAGTTCGAAGCGGAGCAGCGGTGGTGGCGGTGGTAGTGGTGGTGCGAGAAATGGCGACAGATCAGCCGATAGCAATGCCAGTCGTCGACGCGAGGAGGCTGAAATGCATCAATATCAACAATTGATCAGCAACAAAGAGCTTATATCGAGTAACAGCCGTTATGCGAAAATGTCTGTTTGGGCGCAGTATTTGAAGAATTCGGTGGAAAATCATGGTGGCAAGTATGCAGGCACCGATCTGGCTTCACCAAGTGCTTTGGGTAAATTCAAGATCTAAACGGTGTTTGTGTGAGACATTAGGATGCATTCAATAATATTTTTTTGCAGATCTATTCGATGCTTATAAAATTGGCGGCGATTTCGATATGGAAACGTTGCAGCAACACTTAAAAATGGCAAAAGAAATTGAAAAGAAGGTGAGTACCTTAAATGAACAATAAAATACATACAAAGATGGGCAGCTTTTTTATGGAACAAGACAATTTTGAGGTTTGGCCATATTGCTTTTTTTCATATGTTTTAGCGGTTATGCAAAACAAGTACTACCCAGCGTTCGCACGCGCCTATAACAGCTTCTTTTGCATCCCTGTTATAAGGATCGACCCTCACTGCCGAATATACTATCGGCTTTCTTAATAGAAGATGATCACACCCTGGTAGATGCACTCCTAATACAAAAGGGCTCGACTGTGTATTAATTCAAGTTTTTAGTCTTGATCTGGACAATCACGCAAACTGTGCTCCGACGTCCTTCACCTTCAAGGCACAGACTATATTCCGTCGCCGTAGTCAGTTCAATCTAGTTTTTGAGAGAGCTAGGCTGGATTTACGTGAGGCGGTTCAACATTGCTTAAAAAAATCACTCGTGTAAATGGTGATTCAAAAATCGCTTGCCTCAAAGTAGACAGCAGGTCAACTTTTGCAGGCGATTATCGCCTGTCAAAAAATTACCTCATGTAAAGGCAACTTTAGGTGTACAGTAAACCAGTGTTGCCAACTTTTGATTTTCAAAAAGCTCCAAAATCTTGGAAAAAATCGTTTTACCACACTAAAAGAACCAATCAAAGAATGCTTTTTTCATAACAGTTTGTATTTAACAAAAGTAAAAAATAACAATATTTACCGTGTTTTTGGCACTTTGAGGTTAGGATATCTCACAATTCTAGTGCTAGAGAAATTGTGCGGCCAGATATGGATTCAGCACCAAAAAACGATGTGTTTTACTCCGCTGATTAAAAAAAAACAAAATTTGTACAAATAATTAGAAGAAAAACACTTAACTTACCTGCCTACAAGCATTTTCAACGCGAATAGAATTCAACAAGGTGGGTTTGCAACTTCAACTTTTTATCAATCATAGTTTTATTTTAGTGCATTTAAATTTGAAGATTCTTGTAAATTCAGTGCTGCCACAGCTTTAAATATTTCAAATTATTTCAGGCTTTAACTGTCTCGGAGAAGCTTTAGTTAAGAAAAATAAGCACTAAAAAAGGCACCAGGCATAAAAAAAGCACTAAATCTAGTGCTTAAAGCACCAAACTGACAACAATGCAGTAAATAGCCTGTTGTCGCTATTAAAAAGGTTTATGTCCATGCATAGCATGAGTACCAAATTAAGGCAAAAATTATATATAATTTTAGGATACAATTTTTTGGAGTAGATATTGAAAATATCCTTTTAAAATTTTATGCTTGAATATCATTGAAATTTTTCAATACCTATTTTTGAAAAAAATATATGTTAAAAGCTAAAAAAGATTTCCTTAGTTCTTTGTTACATGTTTGAGACAATTTATAGCCGGTGTTTTCTCCTTATGGCCTTAATGAATTCAAGCCAGGTCAGCTGTCACAGATTCTCCAGTTTGGAATTTCATCAAGGTACAGGGATTTAGATTTCAGTAGACAGCATTAATTATAATAAGGGAAGTTAGGCATTACGATTGATAGAAGACGAATGGAGACCTCACCATAAATACAGTGATTTTTTCAGCCACTTGCATTGCAAAGTTTATTTCTCTCAGTGTATTTTGCCAGCGCACTTGCTGATACATCGAAACATCTTTTTGGGTTTTTTATTAATGATTTACCTGTTCATATTTACCGTTGTCTTGTGCACATGATTTGCTTTCATTTGTTGATCCACAAGCGGCTTGAGCGTCACTAAGCCAGTATGCAGTGTAGTATGTGCTCGTACATGCCAACCTGATCAAGCAAGCTGGTCAGTTCGTCAAATCGACGGACAGACAGTGGTGAACCAACCAACCAGTCAGTTAAAAAATAAACAACCAACTAAACCGTTCGCAACGATTCAGTGCCAACACTGACTTCGACTGGCATACATACATAAAAACTTATTCATATATGTATGTACATAAAAAATTATAAAAATTAAACAAAAATTACACTGTGCTACAGCCAAAAAAAGACACGAATGCGTTATGGCAATTATGAAAGAGGAAGAGCTCGGGAATATTCTATCACCTGCGGCTTTGTTTCTAAAAGTCACACATTTGTTTACAGTGTATTGAAGTTTTCCGAAGTTAAGCTAAGTTATTTAAAAAAATCTCGTATGAAACTATATTTGCCATAAATCCTGCCGACAGTAAAATTTAAAGGCAGATTTAGATATTTTAAGCCAATATTTCGTTTTGACCCTTGTTTGGGTTAAATCAAGTAGTAATTGAAACTTTTCAACATTACTGTTGATTAAGGTGTTCGAGTATTCGCCTTTTTTATAAAACCAATATTTTATTTGGAAAAGATCAAAGCAAAATAAGTTCAAAGTTTTTTTTAGATTAAACAAATATAAAAGTTAGTAATCAAAAAAAAGGGAAAATTCATGTTTGGTCTTCTCTTAACTTTTTTAATACTTATTGCATTTTTCTGACTTTTTTCATATTTGGCTAGTGCTTTTGCCACCGTAGCCGAGTGCTGTGACGTTTAATTTCTGGGCCCAGCAACATCAAAAAAAGTTGTTTCAAATAGCGGCCGCGGGTGCGCTTCTGCTATAAAAAAGCCTTTTCGGAGGTGGAGTTAAAGTTAAGATCTGTCCATATGTGTCGCAACATCAAGAAGCAGAGCACGAAACACGTAGAAAACGTTTAAGCGGTAAACATTCCTTTATAGCGATCAAATATGACATACCTTTCAAATAACTCAAAATTTGTATTCAGAGGTCAAGATTTGTATGAAATGATAAAAACAGTTTGTTCGATAAAAAAAAATCCGGTTTATTCGGTATTCGAAAAACCCAGATTTCAGTAAAACCGCCTATAGATATTCAAAAAAAAAAACGGTAAATCACTCTACCGAGTCCCCATGAATGCCCCACTTTTCCTAGCATATCGCCGTGGGTAAAAAATGTATTTTCGAATGTGAAAGGGGCTGTATTACTTATTACACCGTGCGACAGTCAATTTTACACACAAAAAATCAATATATTCACAAAATTTGGGGCCAAATACTTGGGACTTTGAAATTTCTAGAATATGATTGAATAAACAATTTTTCAAAAGATTCGGTGCATTGTAGAATAGCAATATGGGTATCAATTAAAAGGAAAAATTCTGTAGAATAGAAAAAAATTTAAAATTTGGGTGCACCAGGAAGAATAAGTATTGAAAATGTCCTTTTAACACTTTATCCCTGAATATCCTTGGAAATTTCGAATATTAATTTTTGAAAAAAATATATGTCAAGGACTAATATGTTGTGGGATATGTTCAAAAGGTGTGAAATGAAAGTGCTTACTAAGTGGAACACACTGGTATTTAATCAAGGTATTTAATCAAAACAAACCACTTTGTGAACTTAGATGCGTCAGCTTATGTAGTTTTAATGCATTGACTGTCTAGACTCTGATAGAATACTTTTCAAGCTCTTTCATTTGATACCCATATTGAGGGGATTGAAAAATAAATATATGGATTACATAACCATCACCGCGTTATGGTGACAGACATTTTGAATTTGCAGTTTTAATTTGAACTACTAGATTTAGTAGGGTTAAAACGACCCACACGAGAAATATTAGGAAAACTTCAAAACACTTAAAAAATGTTACGTGCAGGGACAAAATTGGCATACCGCATTCACGTCTTTGTTTTATTTGTCTCATTTTGTTGCACAGTGTTATTACTCGAGCGACTCCGAACTCCAGTTGCTGTTTGCGCTATTGCATTTTGCTAAATTTACTGCTGCAACAGTTGCTCTCTAGCTTCGCAGCTGTAGTACTCTGGCCTGGCATGATTGTGGCACAGCTCAACTTTTGCAACTTTAGCTTATTGTTAACTTTGGGTTCAAAACATTGGTCGATTGGTCTTTTTGATCGCGCTTCGGTCGCTCTAACTAAACAATCGTCGTCAGACAGTTTGGCTACGATGATCGCGTGAGTCATACCTGCACGCTTGTTGAACGGTGGCGGCGTTTTGAAAAGTTAATAAAAATATTAACAACAGCACAAATATAAAAATGTAAATTAAATTAAATATTTTAATTTAAGTTTAGTGAAAACAATTGTGCTTCAAACCATAAATAAGCGAAACCTTAAGAAAAATGAAAGCTAGCAAGTAGAGCAACAAATAAAAGTATTTCTTTGTGCAATTGTACGTATAAAAATATTAAATAAATCAAAGTGACAACGGAAAACGGGTAAAACCATCATCCACAATGGATATGGAATTCGACAATGATTTTAGCTCACTGCCAGTACCACAAAAGCGACGACACTACAAAAAGGATTCACGTTTTGTTTTCGATTTATACACTTTGTGTTATGACGAAAATGAAAGTGTCGACACAGTTGAACTGTTCACATCCATTGTAAATAACACAGCTGCAGATAATTGGTCTGAGAAGGTACTTATATACATACATATATATGAAACAAAAAACAGAATACAAAAGTAAAACAAACAAAAAATAATTATAATAACAAAATTAGCAAAACGAATTAGCTAGGAAAAATGAAATACTATAAAGCAAGTAATAAGAAAAAAACCGAACAGGAAAACAAAGAACTGTAAAAAATAATATTTAACCTGCGATCATGTGTTAAAGCATGTTTAAAAGCGAACGAAAACAATGTAGAAAAATTACATAGCTCATGACTAGGCTATAACAATTGTTGCTCCCTCTCCACAATCTTCTTACTGCAATCAGACTCTCTTTCGAAGGTAAGGGTAGGCTGTTGGTAAGAAGGAAGGACACAGAGGTGGAATGAACTGGTTTAGCTGGAGACATAATTTAGGTTAGGATAGCTCAAACGAGTTGTTCTTGTTAAGAGCTCACTCGGTGGCCACAGAGCCCATTTGTGGTACCCAGGACGAGACTTCTTCAAAAATACCGATCTTTTGACGAATCCAGTGATACAGTACCAAAGTCCTCCAGGTCTCCGAAGAAATAATGAATAAAAGTT